GCATCACCAAGAAGCTGAAAAAACATCGAGTTGGTTAGAATCGAGTGGTGTTGAAGGGGAGAACTCAACAGAAAGAATGGAAGCAGGATCAATGACATACATCAATTCTACGTGATTTTACTTGTCATTCTTTCTGCATTTTACATGTCATTTTTATGTATTTATCACAAATTTGCACTTGAGAAGTGTTTTTCTTTAATTTTGTGCAGGATGAAAGGGTTGAATACGAACAAACTAGAATTAGAAAATCAAGCAAAAAAGTGTCCCGAAGCAACATGACCATGCCTGAAAGTGACATGATCACGCCATCTTTTAGCATACATGATCATGCTATTTTTTGTGTGGTCACAACAGAAATGAAATTAATTATAATTAATTAAACATTTATTCAAATTAAGTAAATTTTTTAGGGTTTGTTTCTAATGACATGGGGAATTTTCTCTGATTTTTTCGAGGCAAAAGCCCTAATTTTTATGGACTCTTAGTATTATTTTAATTTAAAAATTATAAAAAATAAAATAAAACTAAAAAAAATACAAAATCAAGTTTGGTAGGTTCACTGTGGTTAGAGGAGCTTAGGAAAAAAAATCAAATTAAAAGGTTCAAAATACATTTTTAAATGATAAAAATTATAAAAAATTTTAAAAATAAAAAATAATTCAAAAAACCATCAGAATATCCCAAAATGGAGAAAATGATTTTGTAAGATCTCTGTAAAAAATTGAAAGCCAGAAAAGCTACTTCTAACTTAAAAATGTATTTTATAAAGAAATTAAAAATAAAAAAAAATTATGAAATTTGATTTCGATGATTCCTTAAGACCAAAGAAACCTAGGAAAAATAAAATTGAAGTCAAAATAAAAAGTAATTTTTGAGCTATTTTTCAATTTAAAAATAATTAAAAACTTATAAAAATATAAATATACCTCAAAATATCACAACTTATTCCCAAGTATAGAAAATAACTTAAAAATATTTTCATAAATTTTTAAAAGATGTAAAAAGGTATTTTTAGCATTTAAATGAATTTTCTTTTATTTTTAAATAAAATAATTATAAAAATGAAATAAAAGTCAGAAAATTTTAAATTAATTTTTTTCTGAGTTCTCTCAGTGAGCTTTATGAAAATATAAAAATTAATTTTTGAAATGAAACTATATTTTCTAATTATTTAATCTTTAAAATCAATTAAAAAAATAAAAATAAATAAAATACAATTCAATAATTCACAAAATTTATTTTGAGTGGTCCTCTGATCTAAGTGAACCTCTTAAAATTACCCTAAGGTTAGAAAAAAAGTTTTGTTTAGTAAAATTAATTAATATTGAAAATTCTCAATTTTGAATCAAAATCATTATAAAAAATTAAATTCAAATCAGAAAAATATAAATTCTTCTTTGATATGTAAATTAATCCATGAGTAGGGTAACAACACAGTTTTAAAGTCATTTGAGTTAAATTGAAGTAATTATGAAGTAAAGAACCCTATGGGTAAAATGATAAATATGGAATTTTGAACTCTAAATTAATTTTTGGTCAAAATCAGATGGTAAATGGGTAATAATTCTTATAATTAACTCTTTGAAGTGATTGAAACAAAAAAAGGGTTAAAATGTAGGAACCAATTCACTTCACTTTCTACAAAAGGTAAAATTGTAATTAATCAATTTTTTATGGATTGAAAGATAATTAAGTCTTTAATGATCCTAATGTGACGGGCTTGTGTTAGGAAGATAATAACTCACTAATTTGAACCCCCAACCAATGGTTAAGTGCAATTTAAATTCTAAAAAAGATTGAACACCATATCATAAAACTTTTATAAAATTATAACTTTACACCTCAGCCTTTAAGGGCTCAATAGTGAACTAGAGTTTATTTAAAAATATTTAATGAGGTTTAGAAAATAATCATAAGTAATCATGAACACCACTGAAACACTTCGAGTTTATATTCAATTGAAAAGAAATGGAAGGTTCCTTAATCACTTGGTTTATCCTAAGGGTTCATAATGTTATAATTCATCAACATAATATTGAGTGATTAGTAACCCCTGCTTGCAATCATTACATTTTAAATACAGATGTGTCTGATATATATAACCCGACGAATAGTCATTATGTCTTGTAGCCACCGATCACCATCGAGCACGCTTGCCGCCATCATCAACCACAATCGGTCGTCACCACCTGTCGATGCATGCCACTGACATCCAACGACCATTGCTTGCAATTGCTGTAATTCAACTATGGCCTTTTGTGACCAATCTTTATAACCACCAACTACAATATTTGCAGTGGACTACTTCTTTTATAATTTCTAATTACGGACTCTATGTTAAATTGTCAATATTGAAGTCACCAACCACACCCCTGATGACCGACTGCTCATTGTAGCAACCAACGACAACTTTTGTGCCTAAATCTTACTATTATAACCAAAAACCATACTTGTAACCCAATTATATCTATTATAATCAAACAACTATTGAATGATATTAATCTTCATGCATAAAAGTAAAATATAACTCAATTTTCATCCCCATAAGTCACACCCCATGTTCGGAAGGTGGTACACCCCAACAACGTAGGACATGATGAAATAATTTGAACCAGTTTTATATTTTCAAAGAAAACTTACACTGTAAAAAAAGGAAATGTAAATTTTACTAATGTGAAAAGTTCATTGTTACAACTGAACTGAAAATAGAAAATCAACTGAATCAAAACAAACATGATAACATGGAACAACTACCGAGACCCAACAAGAAAAAACACAATAACTAAAAGAAATACTGCAAAAAATACCAAAACTGGGAACTAAAACTGAAAATCTTGCTTCGGTGTAGACAATTTGAAAATCTTGCTTCGGTGTAGGCTGAATCGAACTTATTATTCAAAAATATCAAAAATGAGTTTGACAAACTCAGTAAATAATAACTATCTGTTAAAGAATAAACAACAAGGGAATGTGACATGCAGTAAGGCAACAAAGAAGAATCATTATATGCATATGTAACACTGCAAGACCAATAATAAAAAAGGTAAATATACTATGCATGTCATACGAACCATAAAACTATTCATAATTAAATTTCTTATCATTTCATTTTCATTTACCAACCCAATGAAACCCAACAATTTCCTGTAGAGTCGTCACTCTGTGGGTCCATCAACCCGACTAGCCAAAATCCAAAAGGGTTCTACTGATCTACATACCATTACAGATAAGCATGCCAATTTGTTTTCATGGGTATAATATTTAAGAAGTCTGTAATTTTACATATGTTTGTGATATGACGTGAATTCACATGCATATTCATAAAATGAAACGAAAGTAAAAAAAAAACTATAATTACAAGATTATTCAAACATGAAAAAATAAATTGATATACTTAGTAATTTCATTATGAACAATAAGGTAGCCCTATAATAAGTGAAACATCGTAATTGAAGTAAGAAAGAGCAAAACTGACAAAATATAAATAATGAATATATTCTACTACAATTAACAATGAATAATACCCCTCAACTAGGAAGGGTAGTTTTATTCTCTCATATACAACAATGATTTACCTTAAGTAGACAAAACGTGATACTTATTCGAATTTGGTGATTCAACTAGCAATCCTACATCAACTAAAAGTGAAATTATTAAATGATTAAGCAATTTATTTATTCATTTAATTAGATGTCTTCTAATAGATCTACAAGATTTAATATATAAATCATTATTATTATATAAAAAGATAAAACTATGAACTTAATTAATTTTAATTAATATCATAATATTTTGTTCAATGTTTTTTTATGATATAGAAGAAATTTTAAATTTTTGAATTAAGTGTTGGGGGATTTAAATGACACTTAAGGATTTAATTTTTTTAAAAAATTATAAAATCCTACAAGCCCTTAATTCCTGTTTCTCTACTCGTTAGATTGGTTAAATCCCGCAAGAAGACGATTTGATGGGATTTAGAGAGTCTGAAGCGTGCGAGAGGGAGGAAGGCGAGGGTTACCTTTCTCGACGGTTTCAAGTGGGAGCAAATGGAAGGAGGGAAATGAGGGTTTCAGAGTTTGGTGGTCTTTGTATGTTACAATCTCGCTATTGCCTTTACTGCTAGCTCCAACAACGAATGTATCACATGGGTCCAGTCATGAAGACGATGGCTTCTGGCAAAACCAGGACACAAATAGGAGAGGGAGATCGACAGGAGGAGGAAAGGGAGAAGATAAGTGATGCCCTAGCCAACATCGATAGCGACGCAAAAGAGGGCAACAAATGCAAGGTGAGAAGAACAAAAAAGATTAGAAATTCAAAAAATCAGCTATCGTAGAAATATTGCGAACAGTGGAAAGAAAAAAATTTAAAAAAATTGAGTAAAACAAGGAAGGAAACTTTCTGGATCTCACAAGGGCTGTCAAAACGGCTCTTGTTCGCGAACAGCTCATGCAAAACAGCTCGAGAACAGCTCGTGCTGGCTCGTTAATTTTGTTTGATAAGTTAATGAGCCGAACACAAACAAAGATGTCTTCGTTCGTGTTCGGCTCGTTTTGGCTCGAAATACTAGTCATCAAGTTTATATATATATAAAGTAGTATTTAAAAAAAACTAATTGATTACAAGACAAGACTACAAAGATTTATAATATAATCAATTAAAATATTGTTTAAGAAAATAGAATAAAAAATATTAAATTAAATTCAAATGATGTTTTAATATAAATAATAATTTTTAAATCTTACTTAAACTCTTATTGTCTTATGACTACATGATTAAAGTTGTTAAAATAACTCTTACTTAACGAGTCGAATACGAACACATTTTTGAGCTAGAAATATAAACGATTATAATTCTAACTATAATTCTAACCATCATTCATCATCAACTAATTATCATGATTGTAAAATTAAATTGCACCCATTTAAAAAATCTTATCTAAGTGGGTCACATGGCAGCTCCGGAGCAACCTGTCTTAATAGCCGACAGTGCCAAGTGGATCTAAAACAGATTAAATTATTACTACTAACCAGCTCCCATGGCGATGCCATCTCCGCCATTCACACCCCCCCTTCCTCATCTCGTCTCCTTCACCCTCCCTGTTCCTTGTCGCCTTGCTGCTGTAGCTTCCATGTTTACAAACAGCAGCAGCAGCAACACCAGCTGACGCACGCAGCATACAGTCACCTCCCCACCCCTTAGATCCCCCGTCCTACTTCCCCTCCTCCGATGGGAAGCGCCGACGACACCAAGCCGTTCATCCTCTCCGATCCACTTCTCCCCTCCGCCCCATCCTCCGCCGTCGCCGCCGCCGTCGCAGCTTCAGAAGACGACCAGTACCCACCGATTATCTACAACCACGGTCACCGTCCTCTTCGTGACCTCACCTTCCTCATCCTATTCCTCGTCCTCAGTCTCGCCACCTTTGCACTCGGCATCGTCGCATCCTTCCGCCAAAACCCTAATCGATCCCACGCTTCTTCTTTTATCTATGACTCAGCCTCCTCCTCCTGTATCCCTCCCTCTTCCAGCTCTTTCTCGGTCTTCAATTCACTGTCCCTCCCCTCTTCATCTTCCTCCACTTTTCTACGAGATCTAATTTGGACTCTGGTCATCACTCTGCTGCTCGCATTGCCGATTGTCCTCGCTCTTCTGTCCCTTCTTCGGTATTTTGCCAAACAGGTTGTGTACTTCTCCATTCCTTTCTTCATCATCATCCCGATTTTCCTCAATGTGTACTGGTTCGTGGCCTGCCAATTCGGCGCCACTTGTCGCGAATCCTTTCCCCTTGCATACCGCATCCTTGTCCTCGTCTTCGTTTTCTTCCTCATCGCGATCGTTGTTTGGATCATCGTCTCCAATTGGCACCGCATTAAACTTACGGTCCACATTCTCCGGATCGCTTCAGTGGCGCTTGTTAGCAACATGCTACTGCTCGCGGTGTTCCCGTTTCTGATAATGGGTTTGCTGGTGTACTTCGCACCGATTGTTGTGTTCTTGGTGCTTGTGACTTTTAATGGGAAGATTGTACCAACGAAGGGGGAGGATGGTTTGTATTTCTGCAAGTGGAAGCAGGATCGGTGGGTGCCTGCTTATTTTGCACTAGCGATAATTACAATGATATGGAGCTTCGCAACTATGATAGAGGCGAAGGTTTACGTGACAAGCGGAACAATTGCTCAGTGGTACTTCTCGATAGAGGGGGTTAAGCCGCGTAGCAGCATAAGAAGTTCTCTGAGGCATGGCTTTCTCGTCTACTATTTGTTTTCTTAAGAAACTCCTAAAGTGTGTAGCTGTTGTCGTCTTTTTTGTTTTACGGAATTGGAGTAGAGTTAGTTGACGTCTGAAGTGATTTTTGCTAATGAATTCCTGAGGTAGCTTCTTTCAATAGGCATTATGATGATAATAATTTGGGAAATTTACATACGCACCACACTTATGGATTTGCATATCTAACACCTAAAGTTTGGTATTTGCTTCTATAACACTTTGGTGCTATAAACCTATACATAAGAAAACGGCATTTTGACTTTTAAAATGTTAGTAAAAGTGGTATTTTTAATGTGATGTTAAAGAAGTGAGCGCGATGCAATTAAAATTTAGGTCTTAGATATGTAAATACGTAGGAATTGTGTGAATTTATGGATAGACAATGCTAGTGCTGTATAGATACGTGAAGAACAATGTCGTTGACCTGTTAATGACTTGCCTGTGGTGTTCTAGCCTAAGTTTTACCAAGCAAATCCTTTTGGTTATTTGTGAATGGACGGGACCATAATCAAAGGAAATAAGCATCAGACAGTTCCTTGGCTTGAATATGAGTCTGTATCCATTATTGTGACTATCATCTCATTTGCATTTTTTTAAAAACATTCCTATGATCTGAACACAGGAAGCGAAGCTGTGGCAAGAATCTTACTTGATCTTGATTCTGTATTATTTAAATATTGGGCCATGACTTATTTATTGTCATCATTCATGAACCATTTAATTATATTCTACTGATATATATATGATTTAAAATTGAGCATCCCCTAGGTGACTTTTAGGATTATTTTCCTTGTTGGTGACATTTGATGTGCTTTACTCACTATTAGCTGTCGACCGTGCAAGCTATTACTTTAAATCTTTTATTCCCATGTTGCATAGCGAGTAACTTGTATAACACAAATTTTTTAGAACTTTCTTTGAAGCTGTTGGTTTAGAATCTATGTGCATGGCTTGTGGATATAGTAAGAGAAATGGATATAATTCAGGGCTTTACTTGGATGCCCTTGATCCTCCATTTTATTTCTTTTATATTTCTTATGAGGGATATTTACATACATGACACTTAATTCTCTAGATCCTTGGTGTTTTCTCTAGATCCTTGGTTTTTTTTTTACCAAAAAAAAAAAAAAAAAAAAAAATCATCCCCACCTTAATTTTTTTTAACAAAAGCTAAAAATGGTATTAATATGCCTCACACATATGTATTCTTATAGGTCACACATTTAATTAATAATAAATAAATAAATAATGTTTTCACAAAAAATTATGTAGTTGAAGTTTTAAGTATGAGCATCATCATCAATTTAAAATTTAAATTATATTTTGATTGACTACTATTGATTAGTAAGGAGGAAGATGACTGAGATTAAAGGTAATGAGGAATTAGAGATAGAAATATGACTAAAGTAATTCATTATGTTGATGAATTTGATGAAAATCTATAGGGTTATTAGAGTAATCAAGACTTAAATTTAAAATTTTTAATGTTGATGACTTGTTATATTCTTAAAGTGTTGTGGGGTGATGAGTATGAATTGGAGTTAAAGATTTATGTTCAACTTATTTTGGTTTTCATGTCATGATATTTTGGTATTTTATTTTAATATCCTAGCTTTAGGGTGTTAATGTGCTACTTTTTTACTTTGCACAGTTTGTAACCTTTTTTTTTTGTTAAAATGTTGATATGTTATTTTTTAATGAATTAATATTCTAGGTGTTAAGATGTTGATTTCTTACTCCATACTTTGAAGTTTATACAATAATTATTTTTTTTAATTTGAGGCTTATGTCTCAAAATGCCGTCAGGTTTATGCCTAACCTCATGGATAAAAAATGCCTCAATACCCAATTGCGTAATTATAAACCTTGTTATATATATGTTTACCACCTAAAACTTTCTATTTACTCACCCTCCACTATTCTCTTAATGAAGAAAAAAAAAATACTACTCAGTTTTCTTCTTCTTCACCATTCTCCATCTCCATCTAAGATTCTCTGACCTAGCTACCAATGCCAGCCAAAAAAGGGTGGCAGCTAAAGTTGCCATCTCTAGCTCATAGCTTACTTTTCCCCTTTGCTCTATTTCTTGTCCTCCTTGCACTCTATGCAATCATGCGCTTTTCGGCGGAGAAGAGAAAGTCAAAACAGATCCCTGCTCTTAACAACCTCAACTTATTTTGTTTTGATTTAAATTGCAGCCATCTCCTCTCACCTTAAACAATTTGACAACCTTTTAACTTTTCTTTGCTAGTACAGCTCAATGGCATTCATTTCCTTGCAAGACTAAATTGAAATTTGCGGTGTCATAGTTTTGTGGATGTTCCATTTTATTGATTATTTTTTGTCTTCGATGGTTTGAGGTCGCATAGAATGGAGAAACAGAGGCTGCTGTGGGAGATAATTGATTTTTAAATTGTTTTGATTATTTTTTTATGATATTTTGGTGTTTTACTATGATATCTTAGCTTAGAGTGTTAACATGCTACATTTTATTTTGCACAATCTCTTACTTTTTACTATTGTTAGAATTTTGATATGTTACATTTTAATGTGTTAATATATTAGTGTTAATATCTTATTTCTTACTCCATATTTTAAAGTTTATACAATACTTGTTTCTTTTACTTGTTTCTTTATGCAAGGTTTCTTTATGCAAGTTTTTTTTTTTTTTTAATTTGAGGCTTACGCCTCAAATTGTTTGAGGTTTATACCTCACCTCACGGATGCAGAATGCCTCAATACCCAATTGCGCTATTATATACCTTATCATGCATATGTTTAACGCCTAAAACTTTCTATTTACTCTCTTACCACTCTTCTTTAAATGGCAAAAATACCACTCCGTTTTCTTCTGGGTCACCATTCTCCCCTCCATCTATGATTCTCTAACCTAGTTACCAATAGCTGCCAAAAAAAGGTGGCAGCTAGAGAGGCCACCTCTAGGTTGTATCCTCCATTCCCCTTTCGCTCTATTCCATTTTCCTCCTCGCACTCTATGCAATCATGAGCTTGTTTGGTGGAGAAGAGAAAGACAAGATAGATTCCCGCTTAAAGCAACGTCAACAAATTTTGTTTCCATTTAGATTGCAGTCATGTCCTTTCTCCTTAAATAAACCGACCACCTTTTCTTTGAAGTTAAGCTCAATGGCATTAATCTCCTTAGAAGACGAAAATGAAATCTTTGGTGTCATTGCTTTTTGGATTTTACATTCTATTAATTATTCCTTGTCTTGGATGGTTTGAAATTGCATAGAATGGAGAAACAAAGATTATTGCGGGATTTGAGAATTAAGATGCTGCAAGACTTGCAAAACAAGATTTCGTGGAACTTGCGAAATTTTATTAGGTTATTGTCTGAGTAAAGAATAGATAAACAATGTGACATTTTTTATGCCTCCTAAAGAATAGAGAGGTGGACGAGTAAATAAAAATTTTTTCAGTATTAAATATGTAATAAAGGAGAATTAACTGTTACTTATGTAAATCCTATCTTTATTACCAAACCAGAAATTTCTTATTGATAACTAAATATCATGTCTTCTGACTTTCATTATGAGGCTAAAGTAGATGCGAGATATTATGGTGTTCTGGAATGCATCTCTATACTTTTGATAAATATCATACGCTATAAGCTGAATGGCACTTACTGTCTTTAGTTTTTGTTTGTTTTTTCTTAAGCTAATATTTTCATGTTTTCTTATTCTTCACATTCATTATTTGTCCTTTTCAATCTATCAATTTAGTTTTAAGAATACTTTCTAATTGTACAATTTTCATGCACTCATCTTTTTTTCTTTTTGTTCTTTTCTTGTTTACTCCTGACTATTGCAGAAATGCTTTTGGCCCCTCCTTTGGCACAGTGTGTTTTTCAGGAATGGTATTAGGCGCGGTTCGGTTTGTACGGGCTGTTGTAGATAGTGCAGGAAGGGAAGATCTTTCTGGAGGGTTTATAAAAATCCTGCTCCGGTGTTGTGCCAATTTTTTGTTCGCTGCATTTGACTTTGTCAACAAGTTCACTATAAATTTTGCTGCAATAACGGGTGAAAGCTACTGTTCCGCTGCAAAGATGGCATATGAGCTTCTGAGGCGAAATCTTTTGTCTGCTGCGTTTGTTGAGACTGTCTCAACTCGAATTCTTATTGGATTAATCTTCGTCATATCTACACTCTATGCGATTGCGGTAAGTAGAATCCTATGAACCTACACGAGAAGATTTGATCTATCAGTTTATGCCAGTTATGCCTTGGTTTGATGTCTTGTCTCAATAGATTTATTAATTATTCCATAATAGCGTATTCTAATTATATAGCATGCAAAAGAATACTTTTTTTCTAAAATGTGATCAAATCTTTTACATACGGATAAATCACATTGGGATATCTAGATTTAGTCAAATGCATCATTTCTTGCGTCAGCTTAAATTGGAAGACTTATTTCCATGCTGCTTGGCTGGGTTTAAAGATAATAGACTAGATATGAGTTGAAATCAAAGTCTGCTGAAAAAATTAAATTTCATGATATTTTCTCTAAACCAGATTTATATCATCATTCTTATATTTAGAGATCTTTTTTTGGCAAGGCATTGCTTCAGGTATAACAGACATTAATGCTATGAATAACATGTAAGTTTGGTCTAGGGGAAATAAAGATGCTTAAAATGGATGCATGTTGACAAAGCATTGATTGAGTTCACCTACAATTAAGTAATTTCTTTTATAAAAAAAGTAATTTTTATAATAAATACACACACGCGCACACGCACACACGCACACACGCACACACATATTGTGTGTTCATGTGCGTGTGTGTATTCATCAGCGAGTGCACACACCTGTGTTCCATCGTGCGCCCTTCTGCTTGCACTTGAGTTTCTCCAACTGCAAGTGCTTGTACACTCCTGCGCACTGCCCATTTGCCTGCATTTTGTTGCCCCCACAACGTGCACACGCATGCGTCCGCAATCCTGGGCGCACACATGCTTACGCGAGCAGCTGCAGGCCTACTCGCATGCACGTGTGCCCCTATGAGTGTACACCATCATTATAGCTGGCGGCGGTTGTCTGTTCAACCCATTTTCAACATTTTCTGCTCAAACTTTATACTTTCAACTGAGCATTAAGGAGACTTGCTTGAGTCGTGAACCTGGGAGAAGAACCGTGCTCCCAAGAAATAACTACATCTCACAATCCCTTCAAGATCACTATTTTATGAGATTTGGGGGATATTTTCAATGTATTTGGCATAGACATATGAAGGTAAGAGGGCTATTGATTCCTCAAGAAATTATCTTAATTATGTACGAATCTTGATGCACATTGAGACCAAGAGCTCTAAATATTTAATTATCTATACTCCAATACAAATGAAGTGTCTTGATAAAATGAACCGGCTGACATCAAACATAACTTGATCTGAGTCCAAGTGAGACCAGATCATGCCCTCGAAGCTTATTAAGAATCTTTAAGGTAAATTTTAGGGATCAAATGATACTCAAATATGACAAGTGTATAGTCAAATCAAACGACATTATGAAAAACAAATCCAATAAATGTTACATTTAACAAGATTCTAATTAGGCATTTAAGCCAATTTGATTGTGTGCTCCGCAAATTCAAATAACACCTCAGACTCTTGTCGAGAGCTTAAAGGTTTTCAAATTTAGGGTCAAATTTTTCAGACGACAGCTGAGATAATAGATAAGACACTATACAGAGATTTCACCCTCAATTTTTGCGAGAACTTTAATATATGGGGGTTCTAGGTTTTTTAATTGGTGCAAGCCCTTATGATTAATTACTCATCCCGATAACAAGAGAACACTTTTGATTAAGGTTAGTTTTTAGGCGCTAAGTTATTAGACTTAGCATATAGTAGCGGATGGTGGGGGAAACATGATGAATCTTATCAAGATCTTATGGTTTAGTTATCCAGGGTTGCGTGGACCTTAGTTTACTTAGTAAGCGGAGGTAGTCGACCCAACATGATGAAAGAATCATTGTCAGCAACCATGAGTTGCTTCGTTGAAAGGAACCGTGTTGACTCGGGGTGAATGTTTGTCTAAGGGGACCGATTTAAATCAATCTTCGCTTACAAAGGGCTTTCTGTACTATCAAATGTATATATGATTCAATGCTCAAAATGACAGACTATTATTAGGGAACATACAGACTATAACTGTGAATGTAATATAATGGTGCTATTTGACAGCAAATAATCTGGTTAGAGGGGTTTAATCGTAATCGTTTATTTGTGGTGTCATTTGGTCGCAAAACCATGCAGACAGAGGACTTAGGTCACACCCTTACTAGCATTAGATTATTTTGTGCATGAATTTAGTAATATGCTTGATATGATATTGTTTCTTTGTGAGCTCGGGTTAACGTTAGATTTACCTACCTCGACAAACGATTGTAGTGGTGGATGAATTTTGCTTTAAACATTAGGTGGTAAGTTTTTATTTGATTATTTTATGGATCTTAATATTTCAAATGTTGACTTTTATAAATACTCCTCCAATTGAAATGTTCAATGAGTATGCCCATCATCGGGCATTTATCACTTAACATTAGTTGAGATACCAGTCCTGTCAACTCCAATTCTTATAAGAAGGATCAGGCTGGCTCAACTTTGCCAACTCCATTCCCTATATGGAGGAGGATCATATTGGCCAAAGTATGATACTTACGATCTTGCCCTATAGACATGGCGACCATTTCAATACGTGTGTAATTATATATATTTGAATTTGCCATTCAAAAATTGTATTTTTGTAAATGTTTGGATCGTGTGTATACTTTTTAAGAAAAAACATATTTTAGTTTAAGCATGTGTTTGATCTGCGCAACATCCTCTAACAATTAAGTTTAAGAGTTCGTGGTTATCGCGGGAGCACATGTGGGTGTTTTATATTGTTGGTTCGGGTAGTTTTTTAAATATCTTAGCATGCATTTTGAGGCATATTGGATTGAGCTTAGACATTTGTTTAATTTGCGCAACATTCTCGGATCTTGTGATTAAGCACTTAACACGTTGGTTGGAGCATATATGGGAATTTATTCTTATTAACTTGTACGAACTTTTAGGGGGGTTTACTATTATTTGCACGAGTGTGTTATCATTGACTTTATACAAATATTTTCATGTAAGCTTTTAGTTTCACCTTCCGTTCGTTTGTGCATTTGGGATTGCGGATCTGGTGATGAATATGCTAGAATTGACTACAACTTCATAGATTCTAAATCAAATTTCATTTTAGATGCTTTGATTATATATTGTTCTAGAGTTTGGCCTTTAGATAGTGGCAGGATTAGTTTTTATATAGATAATTAAATGAAGCGGGCCCCACACATCTTTTTTCATATATAAATACTAGGGCAGTTCCAATTCATTGCATACAAATTCTAAATTTAGCCTTTAGTTTTTTCAAAAGTTTTTGTAAAAATAGGCTTTGTTGGTATTTTAAGAGGGGGACACTACAAATTTCATGTTTGTCTGTTATTTTCCTAACCTCCACTTTTTTATTCCTCAAACTTTGTTTTCTCTTTTTCTAATCAGTTTTAGGATTTTTGATGAATTTGTTTTAAGTTTTAATATAGCCAAAATTCAGCAACATTTTGACAGTCTGCCAGTATTTTTTTCGTTTAGGTGGTTGCATCGGGGAGTTGTGGCCTTTCTATCATGCTTAAAAAAATGTGCATAGCCATTGTCTTTCAACATTCTAGCACGAGAGTCTTCAAATCCACCACACTTAAAAAAATGTGCATGGTCTTCGTGTACCTGCACAAAGCTAATAATAACAAATGCACAGTCATTCCCGCCACATTGATACGACAAAAACAAGTCTTTGACCCACCACGTTTAAAAAAATGTGCATAGGGCTTGCAGTACAGACAAATTAAAACACATATGCAGAATTTATACTAAGGGTCTGTTTGGGACAGCTGCAGCTTATTCAGCTTATCTTGATAAATAGTTTATCCTGATAAACTTCTGATCAGCAGCCTATCCGGATAGACTGACTGACTGTTTAGTTTGTGCATTTAGAAAATAAGTAATTTGCAATTATTTTTGGATAAATGATCATTTTGCCACTGTGCAGTAATATTTTTTACAACAGGACTGTCATAACAATATATTTGATATTTGAGAAATAAAAAACGACTTCAGAACAGTTCAAAAAATAAGTGAAAAACCTAAAAAAATATTACAAAAAAAATTCTTCCTATTTAATAAATAATCAAAGCGAATCCTGTCACAAAATCGAGGAAGTTTAAGTTATTTATGTTTGATTTTAAAATTCTAAATTTGCAATATGATAAGTGCAATTTATAAATAATAATTAATTTGGGATTACTGCCACACTGGAATCTAGAATTCTAACATCCACATTTGGAAGGATGGCGTGAATAGGATTACCTTCCTCGATGATGGCGTGAACAAACTTACCTTTCCCGATGGTTTCTGGTAGGAGCGGAGCAGAATGATGAGAATGGAGTATCGCCAGCCTTGGTATGTCACGATCCCATCGTGGCCTTCCCTACTAGCTTTAATTGCGATTGTATTGCAAGTTTTCATTCATGAAGCCGATGGTTTTGGGACAAACTAGGAGAGCGAGAGTGATGTAGGTGAGGCTTCGACTTGCTACGACGAGCGAAACGATGTGCGGAAGGTGGTGAACAAGTATATCATTCGATCTTTTTCTCCTATGCAACCTTCTCTCTGGATAGGACGAGGGCAACCCCGTCAAAATGTTTCTTGAAATGCGGCCCGCGTTTAACGTAAAATAAAAACGCCATTTTCACACACGTTGCCCGAACACGGGACCCAAACCGTGAGACGCCGTTTTTAAAACGCCGTCACAGCTGATAAGTTGTCCCAAACGCACCTAAATCCTATCACACACACAGAGACATTACCATAATAAATATGAGCATTGAAGCAAAGGAAATAACCCAACAAGAAACATCACAGGTTTTTACGCTAACCGAATCACTGCTGCGCCATCATAACTTCATGTGATAACAAAGAGACCAAATCATCGAAGTTGAGGACGATTGACGGAGTGTAAACATTAGGAGAGGAAGTGGCAAATGCAAGGTTAACTGTAGCTAGGACTGGTGTGGGCGTTTTAGTTAGCAGGTTAGGGATTTTCGGCTGTCGTACTGGGAGCAGAAGGTGGAG